TTCGACCAGAAAAGGGTGTTGGCCCACTCAAAACCTGGCAGTGCAACCACCTTTTGCCTTTGTCAGATGCAGTCCGCCTACCATCAAAATCTGATCCACAGTCTACCCCCTCAACTTCTCAGAAGACTAGACCTGTGACCAGGTCACAACCCACACCACCTCCTGCAGATGAAGAGGACAGTGAGAGTGAGGAGGTAGGGACAGATTTGCTGTGGCCATCTGACATTTCCGAACCCACCATTCCTTCTTCCACGGGAGTGACTGACGTAGTTCCTCTTAGGCCAGAGGCTCCTGAATTTGTGCCTCGGGCCCAACCTGCAGAAGACTTGCAAGAACCTGAAGACTGGTGGTCCATTGTTGATGAGGGAGAAGACGTGGAGGAAGCTGAACTGGGAGAAACAGAGAGCGTTGAGCAAGAAGCGAGGGTTGATGAGTCAGTAGTGTCAGAACCAACATCGGAAGCAACGCCAGAACCATTGCTAGAGCCCAGGGAACAGAGAGAGCATAGAGTTATTCAACCCCCAAAAAGACTGACATATGATGTGTTGGGTGAAAACTCTGAAGAAGTAGTACATGCTTCTCAAAGGACTCTCGTGACGCCTGGTTCTCCTACAGCAGTTTCGGTAGAGAACAGCCCCAACTCACCCCCTGGCACATCTGGTTGGGCCATTCCCATTAGTGTGGCCTATGGGCAGGACAACCCTCACTCTGCTACATGGTGGGAGGTTCCTCTGCCAGATTCTTATGCAAGTGTGAATAATTTAATTTCCTGCGTGCACTAACTTTGCTTTCTCTCCGCGTGTATATAAAAAGCATGTAACAGGTTGCTTTTACTGCTGTCTTTGGAGGACAAAAGCTTCTCTGGTGGGGGGAGTGTGTAGCAGGCTCCTTGTACAAGAGGATTCAGAAGGTCCTTCCTCTCTCTCCCCTATTTGTAAAACCTGGGCATTCTGCCAAGTTCATGACTCATCCACTACACAGCAAAGAACGCTGGGAAGGGGAGGAAGCAGGAAGTGAAGGGGAGAGGAGAGAGACACACAAGGCTGGAGAAAAGACAGGGAAACGTGGAGCCCGTCCAAGGAGAGGGGGAAGCACTACAGCACCCAGCGCGGATAGAGGGACCCTGCTGTGTGTTCAGAGTCTGGTGAGCTGTCCCACTGGAGAGAGTAAGACACACCATTTACACTTTGCATATAGACTGGGACATCTGCACCCCACTGCTGGGATCTCACCCATGCGGGGCCCTGTGCAAGCCACAGATCCCTCTGCCTGCTTTGCCCCTCACCACCAGTGTAATTGAGACTGTCTGCCCCGGGGACTGACACATACTGGGAGATTGCATCCTGCGACTGCTCCTGGTCTTGGGGTGCTTTGTGTTGCCTTTAGACACTGAGGTTGGACCCTCTCAGCCCAGAAACCTAGTGAAATCTGATATAACCCACACCAGCTGAAACTCCAAAGAAGCCTTCAGCTGCTATTTACTTCATTGTAAGGACTAAACGTGCACCAACTAGAGCTCCACCGTTACAAGGACTGAAGTGGGGGAATCTGGCTTAGTAGCTTTATTAGAGGTACCTCTTTATTGCATTCTGTTCTGACTCTGAGGTGATTTTTGGCTAACGCCCCTCAGAAGCAGAATCATACACCGGTGTGGGTAATACATTTCATTGATAGAGCATAAGTAAGTTTATTTGTTTGATATCAGTTGTATTCGGCTTAAAGTGCGACTCTGCCACCGGAGACTCTTGGCTGTGAAGCCCTCTAGTGGCAGACCAAATTTACTGCATTGCATAAAAGAAGAAAAGTAAGTTTTGGAAGTTGAAAGGGGAACCCCACCCCTCTACTCTGCATTTCATTCTCCATAAAATTGTTCTTGTTTCATTTAACCCTGTGTCAGCAAATTTCTTGGCGGGGTATTTGCTATTCATTACCAGTTGTGCCAGAGGGATTGGGTTTGCTTAGGGTTGGATCTATTGGGCGCAGGACCCATAATATATTCCAGCTTGTCCCAAGGGGCAGTGCTACATACACATATATGGTGCCTGCCTGTGCTTCGCCCAGGTGCCCCTAGGTGGCTATGTAGTTTGCCTAGTGGAAGCACCGGCCCTGCCTATACATAGATAAACATTGTGGTTGTCAGGTGGTTTACCCGGGTTATGGCTGAAGAAATGACCATGGTACCGTTTTTTTCAGTGAATGGCTGGCTTTCATATGAAAGTGGTCCTAGTGGCCCTTGAGCCGCTGGATTGCTTTCCATAGTGGTGGAAGGGGGCACCCCCCCCCCCCCACCTCCTGCGGCTCGCTGGTGTTTCTTGGGCTTACTGTTAATGCCGGACGGCCAGAGAAATGATCTGATGGTGCAGCCTCCTCAGGATGGTGGCGATGAAAGATTCTATGGTCTTTGATTGCCTCTATCATGATGGTGGACCGGAACGACGTCATGACGTTACATCCAGTTGGCGGTGGAAGTAAAAAAAAATGTTTTTCTTTTTCAAAGCAACAGTTAAAACATTTTTTTTTTAAACTTTTAGAGGTAAAGAGGTTTGGGGTCTGTTTGACCTCAGATCTCTTCTTAAAGAGGACCTGTCATGTATATTTCTATTACAAGGGATGTTTACATTTCTTGTATTAGCCATAAAAGTGATTAAAAAAATGAAAGGGACAGTAAAATTAAAAATGAAATTGCCCCCATCCCACCCATCGCACCGTACTCACGTGCAGAAGTGAACCCATACATCAATTGTATATGTAAATGGTTACAATATATGAAGAGAGGAACGAGCGCTGGATATGATAGGATTCAAGCTGCTAGCATATAGGTAAACCTCGTATACCCCCTTCATCAAAAGTCAAATACAATAAATTGCAGCGCTTGAGTGTATAATACAGGGAATTAACATGAATAGCAGATTTAAATGTTCATATTTCAACATGCACCAGATTCCACATTCTTAAATTGTTGTAAACAGTAATCAGATAAGTAATGAAGATCTATCCGACTAATCAAGGTGCATATAGTGATGGTGATGTTAAAATCATAAGTTCTGTGATGTATCCAAAAAAATCTGTGACTTCCGTGATAGGGGAATAACTGTATAATGCACTAACAGATAGCGCAAGTACATGCGCATTGGAGTATAATGACCTACTCCTGGTCACAGCCAGATGGTCCTCAGCGTGAAGCCCTCAGGAACACCAGTGCACCACTCTTGCCGTCTCCTACCACCAGGGGGAGTGCGCCTCTTTACAGTAACACAAAATCACTTTATATCCTCTATCGCCAGGATTGGTGTACTTTCTTATCAGGAGATCATCTCAGGGACTCGGCAATAAGACCTTTTAAAACTTTTTGGAAGAAGTCAGATAGCAGCAGCCAATTATCACATGCAGGTGAATTAGTATCTGAGGGATCTCCATACAACCACATCACTGTTTATTCTCTTACGATGGGGCCCCACTGTGAGAGAGAAGAGTAACCAACCGGCCTCCATCTTTTGAGTGTCTCTCTAACAGCCAGCCAGCTTCTCTCTTTCAATCTTATGGCTTCCTCAGTATCCCTTTATAGATATAGGCACCAGTAGTCACATAATCCAGACAAAAACTGTTCCAGCGGTCAGACCCAAAATATACAACAGCTGAAAGGGCCCCGCAAGGTTTTCTTGGTCGACATCGGCTCCCCCGGAATCCCACTCGTAAATGGTGTTTGCAGCGCACATGTGAGGAATCGCCGCGATCGTTAGAGCGAGAGCAATAAATCCAGCGCTAGACCTCCTCTGTAACTCTGAACTGGTACCCCGTACCTATGGAGATAATACCGTAGTTCGTCGCCATTCCACAATTGTGCGCAATTGTAAAGTGTGACATGTTAGCTATTTTCTGGCCATAACATCCGCTTTTATATTTTACAAAAAAATGGGGTAAATATTGTGTTTTGGTTTCTTTAATTCATTAAAGTGTGTTTTTTTCCCAAAAAATAGCATTTTAACTACTTTCCTACTGGGCAGTTCTACCCCCTTCCTGCCCAGGCCAATTTTCAGCTTTCAGCGCTGTCGCAGTTTGAATGACAATTGCACGATCATGCAACATTGTACCCATATGAAATGTGTATAATTTTTTTCACACAAATAGAGCTTTCTTTTGGTGGTATTTAATGGCCACTGGGGGGTTTTATTTTTTGCAGTATAAATGAAAAAAAGAGCAAAAATTTGAAAAAAAGGTTCTCTTTGTTTCTAATATAAAATTTAGCAAACAGGTAATTTCTCTCCTTTGCTGATGTACATTGATGAGGCTGCACTGATAGGCAGCACTGATGGGCACTGATAGGCAGCACTGATGGGCACTGATAGGCAGCACTGATGGGCACTGATAGGCAGCACTGATGGGCACTGATGAGGTGGGGCTGATGAGGTGGCACTGGTATGCATTGATGAGGAGGCACTGATGATGCATTGATATTCAGCAATGATGGACACTGATAGATGGCACTGATGGGTGGCACTGCTGGAAAGCACTGATGGGCAATACTGCTGGGCACTGATGGGTGACACTGCTGGGCAGCACTGACGGGAGACACTGATGGGCACTGCTGGGCAACACTGCCTGGGCACTGATAAGTGGGACTGCTGGGCACTGATGGGCGGCACTGAAAATCAGGGCCATCTTTCGGCTATAGCGCGGTTGGGAAGAGGTTAAAGCACTGCTCAAATACCATGTGACATAAAAAATTGCAAAAAAATTGACAGATAGAGCTTTATTTTGGTGGTATTTAATCACCTCAGGGTTTTTTATTGTTTCTTAAAAACATCAAAAACCACAGAAAATTTTGAAAAAAAAAAAAGTTTTTTCTTAGTTTTTGTTATAAAATTTTGTAAATAAGTGATTTTTCTCCTTCACTGATGTGCGCTAATGAGGCTGCAGTGATGGGCACTGATAGGCTACACTGATAGGTGGCACTGATGAGGAGGCACTGGTAGGTGGCACTGATGGGCATTGACAGGCATCATTGATGGGCACTGAAAGGCAGCACTCATATATGGCACTGATAGGCTGCACTGATAGGTGGCACTGATAGGTGTCACTGACTGGCACTGTTAGGTGGCAATGACTGGCACTGTTAGGCAGCAGTGATAGATAGGCAGCACTGACGGGCACTGATAGGCGGCACTGACTGGCACTGATAGGTGGCACTGACTGGCACTGATAGGTGGCCCTGACTGGCACTGATGGGTGATGCTGAAAGGCAGCTCAGATGGGCACTGATATGTGGCATTGATGTGGCACTGATGGGCACTGGCAGGTGGCATGGATGAGCACTGAGAGCTGCCACTGATGGACACTGACAGGTGATGCTGCTGGGGCTACACAGATCATCAGTGCTCTGATGATCAGTGTACATGTCCCCCCTCCGAGGAATGCCGATTACCGGCTCTCCTCTGGCAGTGTGACAGCTCGTGGGGAGAGAAATGCCAGTAACCGGCATTTCCCTGTTTACATGTGAACAGCTGTGATTGGACACAGCTGATCAACATCTTCGGCTCTTTCCGTGGATTGGTGATCCATTGTGTCCGAGGGACACAGCGCACCACCGATCGCTGCGCTGCGCGATCCGGGAGCCATGCATGCGCGCTTAGAATGGGCAGACATCATATGACGTCCTCCCAGAACGAGAGAACCACCTTGCGCCCGTCATATTACTATATGGGGGGTGGGAGGCGGCTAGCGTGTTTGCTAAAAAATATCTAATGTTTGGGGATTATAAGTAATTTTCTAGCAAGAAATACCAATTTAAACAAAACGTCCCGGAAAATGTTTGGTCCTCAAGCGGTATAAACATTCCGGGTGTTATTCGTTACTTTTCTGTGAATGAGGAAACATCTGCAAAGCAGTTTTTTTTCTTTTTGTCCATATAGACTGACCCCTAATAGTGACCCCAGGATTGCTGGAACCCGCCGCATTGTGAGATTTGTAGTCATGGATTTAGTGTAATGTACAATCATTTCTCTTGTTGCTGTTATCTAATGATTATTGTTTTGTATCTTTCATTATATAGGGGTATCTTCCAGTATATTACACAGTTGGGATCTTTTCAATGTCATCAGAGAGTGACTATGAATGGCTTATCAACCGACTAAAATCAAACTACTTCTATATCAATATGATACGCGTCCTTCCTCACTACATCTCCAACAATGGATGGCGGCAGTTCAGGGAGGCCGTCTCTCGGTGCACGTTCGGTATTTTGTATCACACCAAGAAAAGAGGACGAATCAACGTTGTGGACGTCACCGGCTCTGTATATGATGAGGAGCTGAGATATCTGTGTGATCACCTAGGTAAGAGATCATCATATATGTGGCTGATTCATAACACAGACGGCTACATGGGCTGATGTTCCATCATGTATGATTCGGGTAGTAGGGTTCATCACTGCCCATCCCCCCCACACACAATCATGGCCAAACATCTTGTCCCCCCCGGCATTTGTCAGATAACGCCCCACTTCACCCAGAAAATTGCTGCAATGACAAATGTTCCGGCATTCTGGTGTCATTTCTTGTGTTTGTATTGTATGACACCAAAAAGTGGAGAAACAACAAGCCAAATCTGACACCTTCCATGCAGAACTACAAAATGTACCCCAATCATGCTACTATACTACCCCAAACTACTACACTCCTACTACACCTCCTACTACCCAAACACACCTCCTACTACCCCAATTACTACACCTCCTACTACCCCAAACTACATCCTACTACCCCAAACTACACCTCCTACTACTACTACCTCCTACTACCCCAACTACTACACTACACCTCCTACTACCCCAACTACTACACCTCCTACTACCTCCTACTACTACACCTCCCTACTACACCTACTAAACTACTACCCCAACTACTACACACCTCCTACTACCTCCTACTACCCCAACTACTACTACACCTCCTACTGCCCCAACTACACCTCCACACTGCCCCTACACCTCCTACTACTACACTACTACACCTACTACACCTCCTACTACACCTACCAACCTACTGCCCCAACTACTACACCTCCTACTACTACACCAATCCTACTACCTCTACTACCCCCTATTACACCTCCTATACCCCAACTACTCACCTCCTATTACAACTCCTGCTACCCCAACTACTACACATTCTACTACCCCAACTACTACACTGTCACGGATCCCACACGCACACATCCACAGCGACTAGCTAACTGCGGCATGCACGTCCAGCCGTGAGTTGGGGTAAAGAGGAAATAAGGGGGACTTACTTTGAATATATATACGTATATAAGACCGGCCGTGATATACTTTCACAGCGTGCACTACCTCTGGCCACCACCAGAGGAAGACTCCACTCCAATCCAGATGGTTGACCACACACACAGGCAGACACGAATCTTATATACAATCTGGTGCACACTAAGGGTTGAGGAGCAGCCTAGCAATCGGCACACCCTTCTAGGATTCCTCCAGCTATCCTACCAGCTAGAACCCCAGTGTTAATCACTCTTCCACTGTCCACACACCACCACACCAGACACACAACAAACGGTAGCTTGCCATCACCCAACAGTTTTTTAGCCGCAGACTGGCCTGCTGGGACATGCCACACACACACAGATCTCCGTCTGGCAGACCTGTTACTTTTACAATCTGCATGCAATCTGCCAACACGCAGTGCAATTGCATACAGATTGGCAATGAACTTGGCCGATCATATAAAGACACTGCAATACAATACAATCTAATCTCTCCAAAGATATGAGCCCGAGCTTAGGTACACAGAAGTCACTTATTAATTTTATGATTTAATATCCCAAAAGTGGGCAGTGCATAAAATATGTACAAAGTATAAAAAGTTACAGAAAATACAAAAAATACAAGAAGACACACAATTGGCTATTGACTATAAAATAAAAGGGAATAAAACAGAAATAAAACTTTTACCAAGAGTTATCCTGCGAATGGAGCAAGTCAGAGAAAGTCTGCGATCCGCCAGTCAATAGAACCGGCTCCGTACGAATCACACTGTCCATATATGTCAGGTCTTCAATTTATGGGAATATGGACGTATGGACATAGGCCCTTGGCCAATCGACTCTGGGGGGCGCTCCTGTACCAGCCCACAGGATGTTCCAGGTACTGAAATGCTGAAAGTCGAATGGACCAGGAACGGTTTGAATCACCAAGTCAGGGATTGAATTTCCGACACCAGCGCATCAGTCCGATTGCGACAGTACCAATCACTGTTCAGCTGTCGCAATCAGGTGCAATATAACCGTTTTCTGCATTTCTCTGGGATTCTACAGAGGCTACAAATACAGTTTTACATGCAGATGTAGCCTACAGTGTGTCCAATCAAAAGGAAGTATATTCATCTCTCTGCAACTAATATTTTAGCTTTTATGAGAGATGAAATATATTCCTATGATCTGTGGATATACGTCAAAGCCCCCAGACACATCGGAACCACCTCTGGTCTCCCGCTGTGTTATGAAGCCGAACTGTCTAGAGCCTCTTCCTTCCAGATTTCCAGAAGGTGACAAATCTTATTGGCATCCAGGTGTCACCTCCAGTCTAGAGGATGCTCTGTCCCTTCAGATGTTAATTGGTGACCATATGTCTCTGACTGAATTCTGAACACATCTTATATTATTATAATATGGAACGCTAAATCTGTATTGTCTATATTTCTACAGGTCACATCTCAGCTACTCAAATCTTACATGTACGTTACATACACCTCTTACTACACCTCCTACTATCCCAACTACTACCATTCCTACTACACCTCCTACTACCCCAACTACTACTATTATCACCACACCTCCTACTACCCCAACTACTACTACTATCACCTCCTACTGCCCCAACTACTACTACTACCCCTAACAACTACTACTTTCCTACTACACCTCCTACTACCCCAACTACTACTATTTCTACTACACCTCCTACTACCACAACTACTACTATTCCTTCTACACCTCCTACTACTCCAAATACTACTATTCCTACTACACCTCCTACTACCCCCCAACTACTACTACACCTCCTACTACCCCAACTACTACTATTTCTACTACACCTCCTACTACCCCAACTGCTACTATCCTTCTTCCTACTACTCCAAAGACTACTATTCCTACTACACCTCCTACTACTCCAACTACTACTATTCCTTCCTACTACCCCAACTACTACACCTCTTACTACGTTTTTTCACATGGTAAAGTGTCTGTTTGGCATGTTTTCAATGCTAAAGCTCTGCTCCACATAGGCTGGTATTTATTGAGAAAAGATAATGATATCGTACCTCCCAACTATCCCAGATTCGCTGGGACTGTCCCAGGATTTGATGTAAGTCCCGGGGTCCTGGGGAATCAAGGCTTAGTCCCGGCACTTGGCTCCAGTGACTTGCCCGGTAGGGGCACTCTAGTTCGGGCACCAGTGACACCTGCCCCGTGGCTTGTGCGGAGCGTCTGGGGTCCCACACACCACAAGTATATCTCTGTATGGCGGCCAGCGTCTCTCACCGCCATCTACCTGTCACACATACTACACAGCGCAGAGCGGCTGAATCCACCTCCTCCTCCTTGTCTGTGATGTTCTCCTGTACATAGACACGAGGAGAGGGGTGAGGAGGAGGAACACCGCTCTGCCTGAGCTGCACTGATCTGAGGTCTTGTATTAAATACAGGGGAGAGGACTTGTGCTGGGGGGGTTGGATATGAAATCAGCGCAAGTCCTCTCCCCTCCTAAAGTGCCCCCTAGTACATATCCTCTCCCTCCCCCCCAAATCAAAGAGGTTTTGGCTGCCCCAGAGGGACAATCCTGGTATCTGGGACCTCGGGTACTCAACAACAGATGCGGGGCAATTGCCCCAGGTGCCCACGCTAGCGCCGCCCTGCCAGGCAAGTTAGTGGAGCCCAGTGGCAGAATTCATTCCGGCATTTGGTCCTTGTTGGGCTCCAGGACACAGGGCTGGATCACACCATGGATCATAGGGGAACAGGCTGTGTATTCCTCTACAATTCGCATGCAATCCAGGCGCAGTGCTTATTTCAGCCCATTCATTTGAATGCATACATTACTTTAAAAAATTCACAGCAACCAGATCACATGGTATTACTGTACCATGAGATCTGGAACAGCCAAACACACTGTGTTTGTGACCAGCATTTGGGGTGTCGTTGAGTTAACATTGACGCCCGCTGCAGATCACAATTGCAGTGAGCTTTGAATGTAAATGAGCATGGAATGCGGGTTTCCTGCAACCTGTCCTGGTGTGAAACGGGTCCTTAGTCCAGATTTGCAGGATTTTGTTCATATCTTAGAACACGCACATTTTGCCGCAGCACGCTACGTGCACTGCAGGTCACTTCCTCCCTCAAGTATCCTTCATTCTGAAGTTCAAAAGTTGGGAGGTATGTGATATACACTCACTGGCCACTTTATTAGGTCCACTTGTTCAATTGCTTGTAATCAGCCAATCACATGACAGCA